CTTGAATGATCCACCGGAGAGCGTCTAATGCACTATGGATGGCTATTGAGGAGACACAATTGACACTTCGCGCCGCCTTGTTGAACCATCATGTTTTTCTCAGCGTTTTCCATTCCCCCCCGCCTAACTGTCACGCTCGTTACCGCCACGTGGTCAGTGATTTGTAATATAGTTCAATTAATATGTTACACTAACCAGCTCGAATTACGATGATTCTAACAGCGTCCCAATTAGTTGAACAACTCGGAAACAGGTACTTGTTTAGTGGCGTCATTATACTGTCAATTTAGGGAGCTGATTTTAACAATCGCTGTAAGCACTCACATCCTTCTATTGAAATAGAAATAGTAAATAGGATGCCCCGTTTTCCATTAGACTCGGCCTGTGTTGTTTCATTGGGAGAGTAAATGGCACGGTACGAAGACATTGTTTGTGTTTAAAATAAACAGAAATTTTCCAATTTCGAAGAACGGGGAGATACAGCTTTCATTGTCTAAAATACGCCAATATTTAGACTCTTTCTCGTATACCAAAGAGAACAGTGAGTTAATACTCCGAATCGAGATCTAACATGAGATATGATATAACAGATAAACTCCAGGAGAAAATGCAATTGATACCGAGACAGAGAAATGCTGAATTAGTTTTTACTGAGCTTTTGCATTTACCACTTATGGCTTACAACATTTATTGCCAGTTAATAGTTTTAACAACACGTGACTCAAAAATACCTCAACAATCTTACCACAATTGCACAAAGCAATCATTGTAATCGGCTTTATCACGTAAGTAATTTCTACACTTCAATAGTCCAAAAGGTCCGCTCCAAAGGTGTGTCAGTAACTGAAGTTGTTCAGCAAAAGCAGGAAAAAAGGGTGCAAGCAGGGAAAGCAAACAACTTGAGGTGGTGACACAAAACAACAAGTTACCCTCTAAATGTTTGCAGTGTAAATACGAGTTCCACCTTGGTTTTTGCAAAGTTGAAATGATACGGCGTGTTTGTACATGTGGCGCAGCACCAAAATTCCGTAACATCCCGGATTGGGTATCTGTCAAAAATTTCCAGTTGTGATGTTAGTTAATTCGGCTACTACACAATTTCCATCATCGAACGAACATCTCAACCAAGATTGGAATCTCCTACCACATCAGACTACATACAGAGATGATCGGTGATGATACTTTTATTAGACCCAGTATTACAATTGTGCTTAGAATTAGATTTATTTTTGTTATGAAATTTAGAGTTTTGATCGCTCTCGCATAGCTAGTTTAACTTACATGTTCTTCGTACCACTCGTTAAGGTTATGGTCTTCATTACTTTGATAACCTTAAACTCGCTTAAACCAAAAATGGTCTTCGCCCTTGTTCAGAACAACCGAGCCTTCACTAGAGCATTTAAAGGATTGAACATGACACCATGTCAAAATGGGCACCGTGCAATAAAAGCAATAGGGAATGAGGCTCGCTTATTGAGTTGACGCTATACTTACTTTAAAAAGTATTCAGAGCTCTAAGCGTTACTCGTGGGATGGAATAATGCAATTACCTTTCAAAAAGAAATTATCAATGGACGACGTTAAGTAGTTTAAGATCGGTACATTATATTTTAAAGACTAATGTCAAATGAATCTTGGGAAGCGTATTAAGTAAACGGTTTCGCACCTAAATATATAGCTGTAGTTTTGTGAATCGATAATAATTAAAAATTTATATTTTTTTAGGGTGCTAACCTCTGCACTTAATCGATAATATTTAATTCAGATTTTACTTTTGTCTCTTCTTGTGTACTGTATATTGCACACATGTACACGTGTTCGCGTTCAGCACAAAATATATGATTTACTACTACTACTTGATTCCCCTGTATTGAGTTGTAGGTATATTGTTTGACTACGATTTAAAGACCTCCCTTCAGTCGTTCTTAGCATCATTCAAGGTTACGAATTATTTTAAGTAAATAATTGACATTAGTAAAGAGCAGCGTGTTAGGAAGTGTCGGTTCGATTAAAGTAAAACACGTAAAAGTTTTACGTAACTACATAGTATAAAAGAAAGTCGTCCTGCTGTCTGTCTGTCCCTATGTATGCTTAGATCTTTAAAACTACGCAACGGATGATGATGCGTTTTTTTACTAGATAGAATGCTTCAAGAAGAAGGTTTATATGTATAATCCATTGGGTGGGTAACTAGTATTAAATAAAATTTAGTTAAACATTTAAAATACGGTGGTAGGGCCACGCAACAGCCTCGGCTGTTGCACGAATGGGCAGGCCCGTCCGGGTAAGTACCACGACCTCACAGAAGACCAGCGTAAAGTGGAAGTATGACAAATACTTTCGCGTTTCGTCTGGTGAGTGAGGTAGCCGGAGCCCATTTTCAAAAGGTTGTCAACGCATCTGTAACCCTCGGGTGTGGCAGATGTCCATGGGCGGCGGTATTCACTTACCATCAGGTGAACCGACTGCTCGTTTGGCAACTTTTCAAATAAAAAAAAAAAAAAAAGAATTAGCACATGAAATGCGTAAAATGTACATAGAGTTTTATACTAGGTTAAATTTTTGGACGCAATAAAGGTCTATTATCTCTAGATTCAACTATAATCATAAAGGAGGATTTTAGAGATTTAAAATTATAAAATCATTGAACAAACCCTAAGGAAATGTTTTATGCGCTATTCAAATGAGAGCAACTGCTTAGTTCCCTCTGTTGCATCACAATTGCTGGTACTGAATACTCTAACAGTCAGAGCTGGGATTCAATCTCCTCTTCCTGGCCTGAATATTTCCGCAAACCGACTTGTCGTGTGGTCGTTTGAGATATTGAAATTGTTTCTTCATAAAACTAGCTAGCCAGTTAGACTTTATTCTCTTACTTTATAATTTTTTTAATTATTCTCGTAGCATTAGCGGTGAATAAGCAGTTTTTTACTAGACGTAGTCAGGGATACATGCCACAGTTTACTGTCTTATCAACTAGACTGCTATAGAATATATTATAAAGTTAAATCACCACATCCTCACAGAGATCCAGCAAGAAGGGGAAGTGCTAAATTGTTTTTATTTATTTTAAAAAAACATTTCCCTTACGTTAGGATAACATTATCCTGTATTATAAGGACGTTTTACAAACATAAATTTCACGTGGACAAACACCCAAATGCGAAACAACTATATGTGGGTCACACAAATAGTTGTACCCTGTGGGAATCGAACCCACGAACCCCGACGCCGAAGCCAATACGGAGTCATCAAAAATTATACACTGCGTCTGATGAGTGCGATAACCGCGGCTGACAATTGCAAGGATTGGCAACGTTTAACACCCTTCAGGTTAAAGGTCCATGGGAGGCTGTAATCACTTAATATTATTAGTCCGCTGCTCGCTCTCAGAACCTTCTCGAAGCGTAAATGGGCCTGGACCTGAACTCTTAGGAGACCAGCGTATAGAAATGGTCACTTTTACCGCTTAGTGAGTGTCAACCAGAAGCCCCTCTTTTTGACCAACGCTACTTCACAAACAGTGGTCGTTATGGATGCTATTGGCCGGAGGATTCAAGTACTAGCACGGTGGTAGGGCCACGCAGCAGCCTCGGCTGTTGCACAAATGGGCATGCTCGTCCGGGTAAGTGCCACGACCTCTCAGAAGACCGGCGTAAAGTGGAAGTATAATACTTTCGCGTTTCGTCTGGTGAGTGAGGTGGCCGGAGCCCAATTTTCAAAAGGTTGTCAACGCATCTGGAACCCTCGGGTGTAGCAGATGTCCATGGGCGACAGTATTCACTTAACATCAGGTGAACTGTCTGATCGCTTGGCAACTTTTCACATAAAAAAATAAAAGAAAGTAGCAAACAATTTGGCCATTCACCTGCTAAGTAATCCAGCCGTGGACACATCCATGCGGTAGCATTACGCCGCCTCTTACAGTCTGCTTAGTAACGAAGAAAAACTAATGATGAAGAAGAACCCACACTTTGCGTAATTGGGAAATATATTCAATTTTAAATAGTTAATAGCCTTGACCTATGGCTATCCCAGCCAAGCGTCCGAGAATATTTATTATTTTAAATTCTTAATAATACCAAATAATGACCAAATCTTACACGGGCACAATTAACTACCTAATCAACCGGCCATTATTCATTTCCTTATCTGCGCTCATGAATAACCGCAAGGCCGTTTCTTTGTATAATTGAATGTGATTTTCCGAAAACAACTTATCGTAATTAAGAAAATACGCGTCATTAGGTTTGTATCTGTGTTACCCAGATGGATAGCTCAAATGCCGTCAGTATAAACACCCAACAAATGTTACACGATAATATTAAATTACTTTTAGTTCTAGCTTCTATTATAATTTAGATAGAGGCTTTAACGATTGAATGTAATTAGATGTCGTTTATTCATTATAAACATTTATTTATGTTCCAAACGGAAACGGGACACAGGCGAAAGCGGTAAAAAACATCGAATGTGTATCTTTATTATTTTCATTTAAGAAGAGACTTTTATAGCCAGTTGGAGACAAAATCTTTGACAGGAGGATAAAAATTATAAATAGGTCTTTTATGATTGAGCTTCGTATATATAACAGATTTCTCTTTTGGTATTAATTTTAAAATTGCGACATACAGTTCAATTTTATTACAGTCTTTCAATTGTGTTTAGTCTTAAAATAATGCTTATTATAAATTAATTATTGCATTGGAATGTAACCATTCGTACACCGTCTCCTAATACTAAAAGGTCACTATGAAGATTTCCAAACGTAGCATCTTGACCAACATCTTTATTTGACTGATAGAGAAGACCACCTTTAAATATGACATCATCAAAATGATGACAGATTAATAAAAGCATTTTTCGGTAATGAAAGTGTCGTAACATTTATATTCGAATTGTGGTCTTATTTAATGAACAGAATTGATTACACATTAATAATAATGTCATTAATGATGTTGCTGAAGCCCTACAAATTCTTTTTTCTTTTTTTCTTTCAGAGGCCATTGCAATCTCAGCCTTTATGAAAAATGAAAATCCGTATGTGTCGATATCGCATGAGGGACACATTGAATCTAGGATATATCGTAAGCATACATTATATTTTTATATATTCGATATATAATTATCAGTTTTACTAACGTAAGTAGTCACGTTTCCAGTATACTTATATTAACTACTAGGTTTTCGCCCGCGGCTTCGCTCGCATTGAAGCCCTTAAATAAATATCATTCTTCAACCTTTCAACCCTTTACAACACTTTTTTCCAATTAAAAAATAGCCTATGTCCTTTCTCAGGCTCTAGACTATCTGTGTACCAAATTTCATTTAAATCGGTTCATTAGTTTTGCAGTGAACGCGAGACAGACAGATAGAGTTACTCGCATTTATAATATTAGTATGGTATAATTACTTACTGATGGAAAAATGAAATGCATATCAAATTGTGATGTTAGTGAATCAAAAAATAATAATATTTGAAGAGTAGCAATAAGATCATTTAGTATTAAAACGTGATCAATAGACGATATAATTTAAAAAGAAAAACTTTAACCCACAGTAGACGACGTCTGTATTAAGTGGGAGGGCGATAAACGTTTTACATTTAATATTTGCATATTCAGAGTAGCGAACTTTAAGAAAAATGCTGTTAAAACCACAACGTTTAAGAAAAAAAAATGTAATCTCAATTTTTGTTGAAATCGACTTTCATCGAGTCATCTGTCATGTATGGCGTAAACAAGTAATGCATGCTCTGCACTTGCAAGACCCCTGGCTGCTGCTGATTTTATACCTAAATGAGTGTGTATAATTGCATCAAAAAAAAAATAACAAAAAGAACAAGACCGCAGAGTTTCTTGCCGGTTCTTCTCTGTGCAGGTCTAGTTTAGTAAACCGGTGGTAGATTTTTTGTTCACGTTCAGCTTAAGTTAGGCCTATATTGAATAAATATACTTTGACTTTGACCAGTAGCTTTTTTCCGAACCGTTAGTAGTGTTGACAATTCAATTAGTGAGCGTAATGCTCCTAAGTTGAATAAAGATATTTGAGTTTGAAAGTACTAGGCCTAGAGCTATAACGTTATGCATAAAGTTTTTGCTTATTGCTTGCTTAGAAATGACGTAACACACGTGAATCCCATCAAAGTTATCAGTCCTTTTTTTAAGTGAGAAAGTCGCAAACGAGCTGGCGGTTCACCTGATGTTAAGTAATAACAGCCGCCCATATACATATGTAACACCTGTAGGGTTGCAAATGCGTTGCCACCTTTAAATAAAGCGGGCCCCGGCTACCTCACTCACCAGACGAAACGCAGAGAGCAACACTACTTCTTTACGCCGGTCTTCTGTGAGGTACTTACACGGACGGAACTGCCCATTCGTGCAACAGTGAACACTTGCATGGTCCTACCGCATTTAATGTAACGTACACAATTTAATTTAACCTTAATAACATGTCGAACAATTCTCATCACAGCGTGCAACTCAAAAGCGCGGCGCGTTCTCAAAAAGCACTTCATAACCGCTACAGCCGCGAAGACCGGGTTTTTTATCTTCCCCGTCCGTCGTTAATTAGCTGTGCACGCGAAGATAACGCGAGTTTAATTACGCACGAATTAATAGCTCATTTGTGACGTTGTTGACACTAAGTGTGTTATTAAATGATTATAGCGGTCGACGTCTCGTGTAACTGTTACTTGTGGCGAACACCGTTGCGTCGATTCATCGAAAACGTTTTTAGGGAAACGAGTTATATTAAAACAAGTTAACTAATGTCTCGGACAACTTCACAAAGCTTAAGTAGTAAGCTTTTTCTATGTGCAAAGTTGGCAAGCGTGCAGGCGGTTCACCTGATGTTAAGTGACAACCACTGCAGATTTACCAGTTCCACAAAGAAACAGAAGAAGCTATTGCGTGCCTCTCATTATTCTGTTTTGTTCAAATCCCCACGATGTAGTCGCTAGATATGAGAAAAATATATGACGAAAATTAAATTCAAGGATACTGGCGTCAATCTGACAATAGAGCCGTGATAGCTTAGTGTCCGGGCGCTCGCCTTTAATTCAATATACTCGATCAACCTGAGTTCGATCCCTGGTGCCGGCTCCAATGAAAATGATAATTTTAAGTGCTGACTTATCACGTGAGGAAACCTGCATATGTCTGCCAACTGCCGTGCTCAGCGGTGAAGGTGAACTTCGTGAGGAAACCTGCATATTTTCGAATTAATAAAAAAAAATGTTTTCGAAGATATGTGTAGTCCGCCAATCCGCAGTGGGGCCGCGTGGTGGACTATGGCCTGATACCCTCTGTACAGAGGAGGCCTTTGCCCAGCAGTGGGACATGTATAGACTAATACTTTACTTTACTTTAATCCTTGCGTCAATCACCTGCCCATTTTCAATTTGAGTTATATTTGAGTACTCTTATCATCACACTTTTCGATTTATTTACCAAAAATATGTCCTGAGATTGACTCGTTACCGGCATTAACGAAATCGATAAATAAGATATTGAGTACCTACGGTTCGTGCTCGCAACCATTTGTTCTTGTGAAGAATGAGAACCCTTGAATGAAATATCCCGCATGTGTGAGGTATGCAGACCGTGTTGCGAAGAAACGACCTTCAATGTTCATTACAGTCATGTTTATTCTATATTTTTTAGATATCTGTAATGTTTCCCAGATCATAGATATCTAGAAGATAAACTGCATTATCTATACATACGATAAATAAAATTGTGAGTGTCTGTTTGTAATATTAAAATAACCGCTTTTCTCTAAATGCATATGGATGTATACACAGTACATATACCAATAACATTTTTTACAATTTTTGTCTGTCTGTTCGTTCCGGCTAATCTCTGAAACGGCTGGACCGATTTGGACGGGACTTTCACTGACAGATAGCTGATGTAATAAGGAGTAACGTAGGCTACTTTTATTTTAGATTTTTTTTTTATTTTAAATTCTACGTGGACGAAATCGCGGGCACAGCTAGTAGTAGATATGACTAGTAATATGCTTTTTATGTTTGAATAAATTGTGAGGTCATGTACATGTATAAAAGACTTATTCAGTTTTGTAATAAACAAAAAGAAGCCGGCCATGTTGTGCGTCTGTCGTTATAGATCAAATTCGTTAAATACAACTGCTGTTTGCCGCAAACACTTCCCAGAACTGAAGAATTATTAATATCGGCCGCGTCAATAACTGCAAAAGGAACATCGTGTAGAATTATCCACACGCCGCGCCGTATCGAATTATCGCAACTCGGCGTTTGCTTATACGTGCCGTTTTAACTCGCTTAGTTTCAACTCCTGTTTGGTATTTCAAATATATTTAAACTTCTGTTATTATCGTTTAGGTTTCGATAATAGACGGCCATGGTTATAAAAAAGCGTGATGTATTGGATAAGACTGTAGGCCTCGAGCGTAGACACGGTTTCAGAAAACGGTCAATTTCCGATGGAATGTTGAACCCATATAATCTGTATGTCAAAATCAAAATCAAAATTCAACATAGTCTTATTTTAAGCTCTTGTTGAACGTCAAAACTACCACCGGTTCATTAAAATAGACCTGCAAAAGAAGAACCGGTAAGAAACTGCGGTCGTATATACGTTTTTTTCTTAAATTATTTAAGTATATACACAAAAGTATTTGGACAGCCCAATGGTGTATGTTCGATGGAAAAGTTTGTGTGCTCCATAATTTTATTTATGTACAGATCTGGTTCACTTTGTGCCCGTTATCAATCCACTTAGACATAAATACTTCCACGAGACAGGATTTATTTCCTATTTTATTTTTATTTTATGGAAAACCAACAGCTTATAAATCAAAAGCATAAAAATAGAACGTATTAAAGGAATGACAGTATATTTTGAAAAGTTTTGTTTAAATTACTTTGGAACTGCGAGAAAATCTACCGGCCAACATATTGCCACTTACAGCCAGCGCCCCTCTCTGCCTCAGTATCGGTGTTACCTGAGGGGTCCTCTGTGATCCATTGACCTAGATATTAAAATTTCGATACTCGTTTCAAAGGAATCGCCGGGTAAACTCACTCGCTGTGCAGAAAAAAAGATGTTGACCGTGACATTGAAAAAGCTGTCAATCGTGGGATTGCATGTCTCAAATGAAAGTTCTTAGCTTCGCAAACTTGTAAACATTATTTTTGGTTTGTTAAGAAATAATTTTAGGAAGTATTCTTTATTAAAATCTGTAGAAAAGAGTACGAATTTTTTTTTTGCTTTAGGGACCCACGTCTTCGGGATACGCGCCCTGGCGCTTTGGCCACTAAGCTAAACGGCCGATTGCCACACCGACGAAAATCTGAACATCTTTCATCTACATCTGAGTGTTCTTTAGTAGAAATTATTTTAAACAACGTAATAATAATATAGTAATAGAATATTCATTAACTGCGCTTTTTTACATGAAAAAACAATGATTATTATCTATATAAAACAAACAAATTTATGTCCATTTTATACTATATGTATCTAAGCGTGACGCATTCGCAAGTTCAATCCACTCGACTTTTCTCTATTCCAAAAGTGCCCTAAAGGAATTATTACTTCAACCAGTAACTCACTTGTATTACATATTGTGTTATGGCCCATTGGCCTACACTAATTTTATATTTATACAATTCGTGCATAAATATAATTAAAAAAAAAACAAGAACCGGCAAGAAACTGCGATTTTATCGCAGTTTCTTGCCGGTTCTTCCCTGGCAGGTCTAGTTTAGTGAACCGGTGGTAGTTTTTGACGTTCAATAATAACTTAAAATAAGCCTATATTGAATATATATAGACTTTGACTTTGAAGGCGCCTAGAGATAGGACCATATTATACGTAACTAAAGTCATTAAAAATACCATCAACACAACACCCCTTTTTCATCTCACATAATCCCTCAATCAACTCATTAACATACAAATTAAAGATAAAATCGTGACAAGTTTACCCTTATTAAAGATTAAAAAGGCATTTCATTTTGATTACAAATATAAAAAAGAACGCTGTATTTCTTTATGCTATCGAATAATCGCGAAGGTCGCTTCTAAATTAATCGCAG